CCTGCAAGTAAAAAAAAAAAGAGCACTGTAAGGCAAAGTTACAAATGATACAAAGAAAGCGAAGAAACACTGAGCTGTAAGACTGTAGGCAGAAATGGCAGAAAAAAGGCTGTAAATAACAAAACGTATTAAACTTTTAAATCCTTCTGAGGTACCTAGTGTAAAAAGAACAATCCTACCATATTAACACAAGTTTATTAATTTCTGTTGTCTTCTTTTTTACCTGTTACTAAAAGAAAACCTCTTGTTTGCCATGCTAGAAAGAAATATAATTTAAAAAATCTGATTTAATGCAGTTTCCTGAAGTTTACATACTCGTACCACAAACATAAATGCTCTTCTCTCTTAATTAGGGTTTAAAATAATTCCTATATACTTGAAGGATGTTAGAATTGAACGCTGTAAATCATGGTTTTATATATAACATAAAAAACTTGTTTCATGAAATAAAAACACTATTTAATAATACTTTGGAGAGGCTAAAGATTGCTGAAGGATGAGTAATTCAATGCAGAATAGCTTTCAGACTATTATCATACATTTAACCATTAAGAGGTTACAGGTGGTTCAGGTTGGCTTATTTAGGAGATTAAAGTATAGAGTTAGATTAATCAAAAAACATATTTGGCTCAATAGATCCTCATTTAGAGAACCCACTGATACAATCTCCAAAGCTTGAAATATCTCATCTGCTGTTACACAAGTTTTTGCCCTAAATAGGTTTAAAATAGGAAATTCAAAGCTAGATTTGCATGTTGCTGCGTAGGTATACGATAACTATTTGTAGTTGCTTTAAAAAATCCCATTTGGCTAAATGATGCTTTCAGACTGCAGCATACAAGTTTAACATATATTTACTTCCTGACATTGAAAAAAACATACTTGATCAAATGAATAATCATAATAAAAAAGAATTTTAACAGGGTTACATTTTAACTCTTAGTTTTGTTGTACAACCAGGAATGGTAAAGGAGAATCCAGGAAACGGTAGTCTTATAAAGGCACTGTATTGTTCTTTTTTCTTTTTTCTTTTTACAAGAAGCTAATGGAAAAAAGAAATCCGTAGTAAATTCAGTCTGTATCATCGTCAACCTTTGTTCTTTTCTTTATATACAACAAAAATAAAGTCCAGCAACAGAAAACCAAGTTCAGAAATGAGAAGGCTGACCTCCAAAACATCAATAAATAAGCTTTACAGAAAAACTGTTAGAGCAGAGCAAAAGAGCATTCACAGGAGTCCAAACTGGGAGTCAGAACCAAGTCCAACGGTCTTTCAGGGGTTAGTACACTGAGGGCTGCCTCTTTAGTTTGTTCATAAATCGCCCACGAGATTGAAGCATAGACACCAAACACACACACGTCTATAAACTTCCAACCTGAAATGGAATTACAGCAAAAAGAAGAAAAAGGTGGTAGAAAATACTGATGGGTACTAAACATAAGCCGCATCCTAAAAAAAAAAAAATCAAAACACAGATCATCCATTCAAATACAAAACAAAACCTTTAAGCACTTTTTTTTTTTACAAACAGTATAATGTATGTTTGAATGAGAGCAGATAATACAGTTTAAGTACATCACACACCTCTGTACAGTGGACATCTTGTTATTTCTGGATTGGGTAAACCAGTCTTTACACTAAAAGTTTGTGTTATGATCTCCTTATGCCTTAGTTTGTTTATTGTGCCCTCCAAACCTGTTCTAAAAGGCTGGTTCCTATTTGTTCCCAATTTGTCAGACCCCAAACAAGCTCAGAGATAATAAGATAACTGTCCGAATCCTCTTCTAGAAAGAGCACCCGTCAGCATGCAACTGTAATGAAATTAACTCTTCATGTGTTTCACATGAAGCTTTTCTAACAGCTGTTAGAGAAAATTTTTGTTTCAAAGAGAAAAGAGATGAAAAACACAATAAATATGAACATGTTGCCTTTAAGGTTCATTTTGTCATAAAAAAAACATAACATTTGCTGACACCAATGTAAAAAAAAAAAAAAAATATTCAAATAATTTAATGTTTTATTGCAGTAACATATTTTGCATTGAGTAAAAAAGAAAATCATACCTTTAATTTAAAGGTATAGAGGTGGATCTTTTATTTCTGGGTGGATCATCAAAATAAGTGGTCCTCCTAATTGTCAATCATTCTGAGGATATGTTTACGTAAGGCCATCCCATTAGCTATCTTTTTCTGTGCATGCGCACATTTAGGTTTATACTAGGGGTGGAACGATTCACAAAATCCACGATTCGGTTCGATTCACGGTTTCTGGTCACGGTTTTCGGTTCGGTTCGATACATGTTGATTGTTACACCGAAATCCCATAAAAAATTATGGAATTAAGGAAAAAAAAAAACCCAAAATAATGGATTGTAATTATTTTAAATGATCCGTTGAAACCCTGGATCATCTCCGTATGTTTTGCTGCTTTCAATTTAATCATCTCGCGCATGCTCTCTACCATCTCCAAGGGACTCAGAGGGGAGCGGACGAAGCCACAATGGGGGCTGTAGGCTTCGCTTTGAGCAGCCGGTCTGGAGCGCAGCGGGGCGGAGCGGGGGTTGCTGACGGAGTATGAGGGATTTCGGGGTTAGCATGACATGTTGGTCATGTTGCTGTTAGCATAAACAAAACGTGTTGCACAATGCTTGCACACTGTTGCACTTTTATCCACAACTTTCTTTCCGCCGTCATCATAGGTCACTCTAAATGCAAAGCGGTCCCATACAGCAGACCTATAAAGTGCTGCTGGCGCGTCTTCCAACTCCTGTTCTTTCCTACTCGCCATTCCGACACAATTCTCCACAACAACTGATTTTTTTCCCTGCTACACCCGGCTATGCTGCTTCACTTCTTCTTCTTGTTTACTACTGGTGGTTCGCTTTGGTCGCAGTACCGCCACCTTCTGCTCTGCAGTGTAAACGCTTCGCCTATGAGAAAAAGGAGCAGCGCATGAACCGAACGAAGCACATGCGAATCGAACCGAGACAGTCGAACCGAACGATTCTGACGGTTTTCATAAATCGTCCCATCCCTAGCTTATACCTGTGGTGAGCTATGATTTCAGACAGTTATTGAAGCTCACCTTTCTCACCACAGTTCTTTGAAAATAGCTGAGGGTCGTAAGAGAAAATGTGTTTCCGAAGTGTATGAGAAGAAAAGTAAGGCCTCAGAAGAGGCAGATAGATCCCAGAATGCTTTGCGCGGAGAGCTCTCCTCACAAAGCATCATGGGATTTGCGGTCACAGCGTCCCACTGTCGCCATAGGCTGTTGTTACAGCGGCGACAGTGGGACAACAGCGGCGACTAATAACAAAGATGGTGCAGTCATCGTGCAGTGGACGAGGAGTCTAGTGATCAACAGGGAGCGAAAAGCAGTGATCATCTGTCCAAACGGTTGGTTAACTGAGTTCACTATAAAGTCCACCATATAGGCCCCGCTCTATATAGTGACTGAGGGATTAAGGGGTTAGGATGGACATTCGGACACAGTAAGCTTGTATGAGCTATGAGAACGAAAAACTTAAAACAGAGCGTGCATGAGGAGAAATGTGCTCTTGCACATGTAATAGGCGTTCCCTCATGGGAGTACATGCACAGGGTTGTGCATGTGCATTTTTTTTAAGGGGACAGGCTGAGTCTTTTAAAAAATTCGCGAAAATCCTCCACAACACCTTTAAGTATTTGTCTCAAACAAACGTTAAAATATATGTATTCCTGTTGTTGGCACTTTGTTCAGTATCTTTATGCCAGTAGGTCAGACCCAAGTATTTTCAGAGAAAGATTCGCAAGGTTGGTGCACAAAGTGAGGGAGAGAGATCTTTGCTACTTTGCTGAATCCTGACAAATAAATAACAGACCTGGGTCCCTTTTCCTTTGGTTTGCCCCACATATTTCTAAAAGACTTGTGGCAAGGCAGGGGCTTGTTTCTAAAGAACCGTCTTTACAAATTTCTACAACAATATAAGCCCGAATAACTGAGTAATGACATCTTTTTAACCATTTTTGGTAGATTCTCTAAGATTTTAATTCTAAAATTCCATTTCATTTTCAAAAACTCAATTGTAAAAGGAGCTCGAACAAAGTTTCAAGGTTATTTGGAAGAGAAATAGCCACACAGCACCATTGTTCCTCCACAGAATTGAACAAGATGCAAGAGGTGCTTTTACATAGATCCACCCTTTCTTTAATGCCAAGCCCGTTTGAAGTGTTTGTGGTCAAGAAGCTCAAGCTTAGTCTTATCTGATAAAAGCAACTGGTTCCAATTAAAATCTCGATAGAGTTTAGCAAATACCAGACATTTGCTTTTGTGATGGTAGGGCAGATAAGTCATTGTGCTCGTATGGACCACCATGATGCCTTGCTGCAGTTTTCCAAAAGTGCACATTGAAGAGTGTATTTTCTAGTATTCAATACTCTGCTGTGTGTTTATGCTCAATATGGATCCTTAGACAGCCTAGTATTCAATGGTTAAAAAAGTCCTATTGATATGCAGATAAACAGAAAGTATTTTTACTAGTTCATTTATATTAGATTTATCCTTTGTGAATATCATAAGGTGGAACAATATTTGGGCCATCAGTGATTTTGATTAAACAAACTTCTATTACAGGTTAGATTTTTTTTATTCAGTAACATATTTCATGATCTTAAGGCTTTTTTTTTGTCTGCAGTTGCTAACCCTCTGTCATGAAGCCTTGAAGGCATCTGTCAACTCTTGGAGGTGCAGTCAGTGAGGGGAACTATACAGAAATAGCAATAGAAACCTGTTATAAAGGAAGTGCCTTTTGGGCCACCTAAAATACTGTAAACAATCAAAAGAGTGAGATGCTTACTGCACATTAAATGTTACATGAGGAGATCTTATCCGGCAAGAAGTGTACAATATATTTTAATTTACATCAACAGAACAATGCTTAAAAATTAAAAAAGATAAAAAAGAAAAATCTCTGTGCTTCGTTCATTTTGATCCACAACCTTTCAGAAATAGGAGGTCAAAATGTTAAAATCCCAGAAAATGTTTTTTTTTTTTTATTGTTGGATTTCGTACGGATGATAGGAGACTTTACATCCTGATGAAAGGATGACCATGAAGTCCAGCTTTCTTAATAGATGACCTCGTAGACCGTCGCCTTTTTGTCTCCTGATCCCGTCACGATATACTTATCATCTATGGAGATGTCGCAGCTCAGCACTGATGATGACTCCTTTGACTGGAAGGGTGAAAGAAACATGTTGTCTAATGTAACAAATTGACAGATTCTGCTAACATAAGAACACACTTTAGTGAAAACTAAAAATCAAAAAAAAAAAAAAAGTATTTCTATAGCTAATATATATTCAAATGTCTGTCCTTATAAAGAAAGTTCCAGCAGATCCAATAGATCTTCTTAATAGTTTCACATATTCTAACCAATGTTCGACTATCCTTTTTTTTCTGAATGCTCACCTGAAAAATACTGGCTCCGTATGGGGTTCTCCATGCATTGAGTAGATTGTCTTTTCCTGTGCTCACAAACCACTTTCCTGCAGAGAATATGACAGAAATCAAAGTTTTCAAAATAAAATCAAACATGTTTAAGCATTTTTTTCCCTCTTTGTTCACCTCCAGGGTCTTTTGTTGTTTACCTTGTCTTTAGAGAACCACCCAAACACTTATCCAGATAAAACTTTGTTAAACAAAGGCTAGGGAATATGCTAACATGATACAATTGTAAATCCAAACCAGACTTTGACTGGGATTAATGTTTGTTTAGGTTTGCAGCTGATAGTGTTTTTGTCCCATAGATATTTTACAATTTCTTATGTAAGCATTCTGTCTTAAGAGCAGACAAATCAGGGATAATTAAGCTTTTAAAGATACTTAAACCATTGCTAGATTATAAAAAGTGTTCGAGTTAATGAACATCTCACAAAGAACTCCTTTACTCCATCATCTGAAATAGGTAAGTCTGCTCTAGAGGCCCAATGTAGCTATAGGACCTGCAGAGACCCACACTTCAGGTTGGAGAATCTGTTAAGGTAGACAAGCCTTGCATTTGACAAATCTAGCCTTTGTTCGAGGGTTGCAAGAAAAAAGTAATTGTCAAAAATAAAGCCAAAAGAAGTCCAATTCATAATTACTATAAGCCCTATAAAGGTGATATTTTTACCCTTTACAGAGGTAAAAACAGCACTTCTACAAGCGGTATGCTCTTATAAAGATGGAGCAGCATTATGCAGATACTATAAACTGCTGTGGATTAATTCTGTTTTTTATATTTACAACTTTCTAATCATCTTAAATCACATTTAATTTCTTCCAGGCATAATAAAAATATTTTTTTAACGTCAACAAAAGCGTCATTTTAGGTTCAGTAAAGAACAGATTTTTATATGGAGGCGTATTGTGTGCATGCACCTGATCTTTAGGATTATATCGGTAGAAAAGACCCTGATAGGCTAACAAATTAATATTCAAGCCAAACCAGTTTAAAAATCTTTAAATAGCTGTCCAGTATTAATAGTCATACTTTAAAATAATCAGGGTTATTCATTGTTATTGCCTTTATTAAGAAAAAGTATATTTCACTATTAAACAAGGAGGCTATATGTGATATACTATCATATGTGTCCCATGTTTCATTCTTACCACAGTGAGCAAATCTTAGTGAGAGCACACAGCTTTCATGTAGGTGGAGTTGGTATTTGTCAGGTTTAGTGACATGCAGGACCTCCACATTACTGTTCTCCATCCCGACAGCTAACCAGTCGCCTGTCGGACAGTAACCCAGAGAAAAGATCTGCAACAAAGAGAAATAGTCGTCTTTTAAAGACAGCCACATGTTGTAACTTGGATGGTAGATTTAGTCATTGTTCGTGAAAAAAAGTAAGAAATATTTGCAGCATTGCCGTGATAAAATTGTATGAATGAACAGATTCAATCTGGTAATAAACTCACTGCAGCTGTAAAGCTGCAATATCACTTCCTGTCTTGTCTGCCCTCACTCTCAAACCTCTTAAATGGATAGTCACGACCTCATGTGCAAACTCGGGTTGTAAAATGGGCCTTATTCAGGAAAATTGCAATAATGGTCAATTATTGCTGCTTTTCTCCTTGCCTGAAAAAAGGTAAATTGAAACTGCAAGTATTATCAGAGTTAAAAGTATTTGAGGGCATGACAAAAACAGTCCAGCCCTTAGTGTGGGTTAAACACTCTGAACTGAGCTTGTAAATTACTGCAATAAATCAAAAGTAGAGACAGTAATCACACATGCAATTGCAAGGACCTGTCTAGGGATGCACAATTTGTACTAGCCTGTGACATTTTTACTTTATCTATAGCACAAACTAATGGTATAATTTTTTTTTTTTTTTATAAAAACCAAGCTTTTTTTGTATAATGTTGTATTTCGTATTACAGCGCTGCATTGTTGTGGGGTTATTTTGGAGCATTCCGTATACCTGAGAAGTAAAGTCGTGTTGCTGCAGCTGCCGGCCCTCTCTCAGATCCCAAGAACGAACGGTGTTATCCAGACCACCAGTCCACAGCTTGGTTCCATCGTTAGAGATATCTATACAACTTGCCCCGTCTGTATGGCCTTGAAACTGCCTGAAAACAAAGATAATGAAATAACATAAATGGAATTTTTGTAGGATTTATCTGACAACAGTTGTGCCACAGTTAACGTTAGTTTGGAGCTAAAAACTGAAGTCCTATCTTTTCTTGCCCTGGTAAAAAACAAGCTAACTTTTGAATTGCAGCATAAAGTTTGAAAAGTACCAGTTTTTACCATTTATTTATTCAAGCAAAGGCTGGTGATACATTTTTATGACCTGCATGGTTTTCTGCAGTGTTGTAATCAGTTTGGTAGAAAAGTAGAAAGTTTGCAATTTTGTTAATGGTCAGAAGAACCTACACCAGACTTTGGCCTGAGATAAAAAAAAAAAAAAAAAAGAGAGAGACCCGATGGTATTTAATGGCATTTATTAAGCTTTTTAAATTGCTTCAACACTTGTATAGAAGGTAAAAATATACCTGATATGTAAAAATAAAAGGACAAATTCCCCTAAGTCTTGCAATATATGAGACCATATGTTCATAGCACTGTGTTATTTGCACTGCTGCAAAATAATCAGAACCACTCTGGTGTTTTAAAATAAGCAAATAATGCTACGTTCAGACCGCAAGAGCTGGAAGCAGCAAAAAAGCTTCTGCTGCTTCATTTTAGATGCTTGTTCACATTAAGGTCAGACGTGCATCAAGAGCAACTTTGTTGCTCCTGATGCGCGTCCAGAAAAGTGTGTCCATGTGCGTCTCATGCTTCTGCTGCTCCTGTGTTTAGCAAACAGAGCGGCTTTGCTATATTTGCTGTTATAAGTGGGTAAAAAGTAGTTTTAATATGTTTTTAAGTGAGAAAGTCCAACTGAAAACTTTATCTGTGCATTCAGTTTATCAAGATTATGATCCTGCCTTCAAATATTATTTCGCTGTCTGAGCCGCTCAGACCCCCGTACACCATCTGCACACTGTCCCTGGAAATCTCCTTCAAAGGCTGCCTCTGGCCTTGTCTCTTCTGGGTTTTCCTCTAATGTTCATGGCGGCTGGAAGGAGATGTTAGCGTTTTTCATGTACGTAATCCGAAGTGCAGGCACCAGAATAAAATAAATAAATAAAATCTAACATATTTTGCTGGCAGGTTTTAACATTTTAAGTTAATTTAGGCATTAATAAACTGTTTCAAGGGAGCGATCATAGCAATCTGCATCAGCAGCGCTGTGTCTGTCTCCCTGCCAGCTCCCAGATCAGATTCTCTGATTGGTTGATGTGGCGCGTCGAACAGCATAAGTTCAATTTTTTTCAACTCCAGCATCTGCTGCTTTTGCAGCGCATCACGTGGGTCAGATGCTAAGAAGCTCATGAGGGGCTGCTTCAGCTGCTCAGACGTGCTGCAGGAGCTTTTGCTGCACCTTGATGCGCATCAACCACTGAATTTGCATGTAAACCAGCTGCTTCTGCTGCCTCTAACACTTGCGGTCAGAACGTAGCATAAGCGTTATCATTCTAGAATTTCTTTTTAGTTCAGTGCATTGCACAGTACAGTAGAACTCAAACATTTCCCGTTGTGGTCATTTAGGCTAAAGTACTATAATGACGCCTCTTGTATGTTTCTTTTGTTACTTAAAAAAATGCAGTGTAATTACTTGAAGCTACATTACTGGGTCTTTAAGTGACTGGATCAAATTTAATCATTTAACTTATAACTAAAGTGTAAACATTCTCATTCTAAGAAAATACACATGCATATTCAGTTGATAAATAGTTTTTATCCCAGTAACTTAATTCAATAACTGACATAGTTTTATATAGAAATTACACACAGACTAATACTTTCAAGCCTTTTTTGTTAAGTATGTGTATTTCTGGATAACATCTGATATAAACACAATGCTTAAAATCAGACCAATAAAAAGGTTCAAAATGTGGGATAATTAAAATAATTTTAATACCCACTTAAAGAGTGATATTTTCAAAAGGTATATTTAAGCTGATAAACAAGGCTCATCGGAGCACATTATAATTTATTTATTATGATTGTACATTTTTAAACTATAAAAAAGAATAAAAAATGCAAAGTGAATAGCAATATGCTGATTTCAGCATGACATGAATGTAAAAAATAACACTGGACTTTAAAGAAGTTAGTATGTGACCATTCATGCCTGTGTATAGCATTGCAATGGACCAGCTTGGCAGAAGGGAGATGACATGCTTTGGTTATTGTTGTTTTAGTTTTGGAATTATTATTCCCAGGTGCATTTCCTTTGGTCAATTTCCGGCAGCCACCAGTTAGAACCATAACTAGCTTCAGCTGCTGCCACTAATTATCCCCAAAGTCCTTCCACCTGTTTCCCTCCCTTTATATACCTGCCTCACTCTCCACCTGCTACCAGAAACTAATCACTCTGCTTATATGTGTTCCCAGACGCTTGTTGCCCTTAAATACATCAAACCTCAACTCTAATGTGGAAGAACTTTAATGGTCTGAACACACCAGGAGTGAGTTGAAAAACAGGGTTTAAACCAGGCCTTTTCATCCCATATCAGTGTCTGACCTCATGAATGTCCAAAAATCCCATAAACACTGGGGCTGGGCATTTCATTGAATTTGCAATATAATTGCAATTTGACAAAATGCAATTTTCAAATCATAGTGGCACAGAATTTTGGTCACATTAAAATAAGAGTAAGACGTTGACTTTTTAATTCCAGCCCTATAGGTGGTGGTAATGCACACTCGGAGAAATGAAGAGAAGGTTGCAGCTAGCATGAAGAAACAAGAACTTTTACGATTCTGGACAAGCAAGTTTTCAAGGTCATGAAAACAATAAACCCCTGCAGAGAAACATCTACTTTTTTTTTTTTTTACATACTTGTGATTAGCATGAAGGAAATAAAAAAAATCGATACTGGTTAAAAAAAAAACGCAATTGTTGATTTTTGTTTTTTTTTTGAAAATTGTTCATTTCTAACAAACACTTAAATGTTGCGAAAGCCTTTCTAGATGAGTCGAAGAGCTGTACCAGCTGCAAATGGTGAAGTGAAATTATATTAAACCCTATGACTTAAGAAATGGATGCCATTAAATTTCCTACGTTTGAATGTAGACAGGCAAATAGGGCTGTCAATACAATAATCCAGAACCAATCTCTAACCACCTACCTAACCAAAGTCTGGTTGTGAAGATCCCAGACAGCTATGTTTCCATCAGAGCAGCAAGAAAAGCAAACTTTGGAGTCAGGGCTAATGGCCAAAGCGTAGCACGCTGGTGCAGATGAGGTCAGCTCTGCTTTGATGCGAGGAGTTGGTGTAGCCAAATCCCAAATAGACAAAGTGCTTGCCTCCCCCCCAACAATTAGCGTCCGTCCATCAGGAAGCAGCCTACATGAGCGAATGTAGTTATCCCTGTTCTGAAATGACATTAAATAACTTTATGACATGTTTTTATTGACATTGTCTGGAATATACAGTAAGGATCAAGGAATAGGTCTTACAAGGCAGTCCAGCTGGGAAACAGGGGTCTTGTTACCAGGATGACTGATGTCCCACACCTTCACACAGCCTTTGCCCCCGGTATAGACATGACGAGTCGGGTTACTGATGGTGACAGCACACACCACCTCTCCGTGGCTAAGAGTATTGATCTGTCGTGCATGGCGTGGGATGCCGGGGCCAATCAGAGCGTCTGGAGGAAAAGGCACAGGCTGCATTTGTCCATCAGCGCTCACATGAAAGGAATAGGCTCTGGAGGGGACAAAGAGTGTTGAAAAAAAAAACGGAGAGTGAAATGAAAGCAAACAGGAGGAAGACAAAACCATGTGTCTTCCTTGGTGTGGTGGTGACATTAAAAATTGAGGTGAGGAAACCTACGGCTTTCCACCAGAAATTCCTGACAGGTTGGGGGGAAGGCCTGGGACTCGGATATGATGGTGAGGATCAAATCCCACCTAAAAAAGATAACAGGACTATAGTTCAACTATACACTACTGTAAAATACTGCTGCAATAGTTGACTTTAATCAAATCTGTATTGATTAAATAAATATGATAGCTTTAAAAACAAACAAAACTCCTAAGCTATCAATTAAGAAGCATCAGTTTATTTACATAAAACAAAAAATGAAATGAAATGTTGAAATGGTTCAATTTTAAGGAGCTTTAACAATTAGACAAAACCAAAATCTTATTGAAGGATGGCTCTTCTTGTTTTAATGAAAATTCCATTACACTTCTTGAATACTTAATTTTGAACAACTTCAAAAACACTTAAACTTATTCAGTTAAATATTTTCAACGAGGAACATAGAAAATTATTGGTGTTTTTATTTTCAGGGTTTCTTTTTGCAAACAGAAGATTACTATTTCCTAATGGTTAAAAGAGTTTCCTTCTTTTCTGTTTGTGTTAGATGTGTTAGAACAGCTGCTGTCTTGTTGCTAGTGACCTTCACCTTAAGGGCACTAGTAGGCTACAAGATTTTAAGCAAAACTTTACTTTAAAGAAAAATGGTTGCAGACAAAATGTGGTTATCCACTGGGGAATACCTGAAGTTATTAAGCAGAAATCTGAATAAAAGCTTTTAAGTCCCCATTAGAGATGCTTGGAAGCACATCTTAAAGAACCAAAAAAATATTTAGCATGCATGTTTAAGGGTGAGCTGCTGATTGTTATAGAAATAGATTAAAAACAGCAATAAAGATGAGAGTTCCATAAAACATAGCATAAACATAATTCACCCTCACAAACTACATTTGATTACCTTTTTTTAGGATCCTGACAGAAAATTCCTAAAATCATACAATGAACATTGTTGTTTTTAACATATTGGTGCATGTTTAGGATGTATGTTTCTGTGGATGTACCACTTGTGTGCGTCCGTATGCCGCCACAGCAGCAGCAGCCACTGCGCTCATCTGTGGGGAGATGTTATGCAGGCCAGTATAGACGGCGCCTGCTCCACTCAGCTCTCCATTCATGCCGGGATGAGGCACCATTCCAAACGGTCCAGGGTAAGAGCAGGGCACTGCAAGCGGTGTGCGAAGACCGGAAGCTGGACGGTGAAACAAGGCAAAAAATATAACAAACATTCTTCAATCAGTATAAAAAAAACATAAAATTGTTATCAAATTTCAGTTTATAAGTTTAAGCAATTAATTAAAAAGTAAACAGAAATATTTGAAGGTCATGATCTACTTAATCATATTGCTTTTTTTATTACTAAAAATAACAGTAGCAACCTAATTCTATAACATTACCAGAACATAATAGGTAATGTTTTTTTTTACCTTTAAAAGACAATAGAATAAATCTATAATATATATTAAATTTCCTAGACCACATATTGCTCTGTAATGAGTCAAACTGACAGCATAAGGCTTATTTTCCAAGTCCAAAGTGTTATTTTAACCAAGTTCTTTGTGATTTACAAAAGCTTCTTGGTGCTGTGAGGATTCTTTGTAATTAGCTATAATCAGGACCCACCAAGCAGCTCAGCTCCTGTGGGTTTGCTCGGCGCAGGCCTCAGGCCAGGGGTGGAGGTGCTGCTAGGTGTGGGGGCCTCAGAACGGGATGTTGGGGTGCTGGACTTAGACACAGGCGTTGTCGATTTTTCATTCTGAATCCACAAAACCAAAAAAACAAAAACAAATTACAAGAAAATTTTCTTTACATACATCTGGTTTAGGAATAATAAAATAATGCAGAAAACAATTTGATCTTAAAATTATTTTCCAACTTAGAAACCCACTGTTTGTTGTAAAGTATACTTTTTTTTAGGCATTTAAGAATCAGGGCTCATCGAGCTCCTAACAAGTTCTACAATTAATTTAAATATAAAGTGTAGATTGTGCAGTCTGCATGCATACATTCTCAGTCATGATTTATAAAAATTGATAAATCTTAAAAGGAAATTTGTTGGAAATAAATCCAAACAGTCCATAATTTGTGGAGCCACCTTTAGCAGCCGTGTGATCATTTTATCATTCTATCACACTGTCTTCCTTCAGTCGCATGTTGTGAGGTCTACTGCACATTTCTTTCTGTTAATTTGTCATACTCCTTTTCAAACTATATGATCTTTGACATTTAACAGGCTAACATAAGTCTAAATGGAGATACTGAGTTTTTTGCTGTTTTACTGAGTGCTGCATAGCCTGACCTTGGGATTGGTTTCTTGGGATGTTAAATAATCCCTCATGTCAGCAGAACAGCAGCTCCTGCAGGCACCGAGGTTTAAGAGCAAGCTGAGTGGGGCAAGAGCCTCTCTACGTATAGCTGCTCCGCTTTTATGTAAAAGCAGTACATTAAGGAGGCTCCTTCCCTGCCAAATTTTAAAACACAGCTCAAGACGTACTTTTATTTGCTGGCTTTTAACACTGCAAGGACTTAGGTGTTGTGACTTTGTCTATTTAGCTTAAAGAAATTCATATTATTTTATGTTTTTATGCTGTAATTTATTATTTTATTGTGTTTACTATTTTTAGCTATGTTCAGCAGTTTGTTTTCAGCTGTTTTAAAGCACTCTACAAATAAAAATGATGATGATGGTGATGATGATAATCTTTCTCAATTGACATACTGAGTTTAGATAGTGTTCGAATCATTTTATTACCCTTTCCAGATTAATGGGCAGCACCTAATGGTTCTCAAAGGCCATTGTTTTCCATTTGGGCCTTGTGTTATATCGCATATCTGTGAGGCCCAAACCTAAAAATGGTCAGTCATTTTTCTTAATAATGACCAGTAAATAAAATACCCTTTGTTATATAACCTCCTAGTTTCTTTCCTTCTCAAATTCCCTAAAATTAGTAGTTAGGGTTCCTTCTAGTTAGATGCACTCAGTTTTTTTTTAATCAATTAATCTGGGTAATTGTATAATCTGTTTTCCTAAATAATGGCTTCCCATAAGTTTGCACACGAACCCTGCAGGTGATTTTTCAAACTTTTTACCCTAATGAAGTCCAGAACATATCTATTACGTATATCCTGGTGCATCTTTATTCTCAAAGGTTAATATTTCCTTATACATCACTTCTAGTGATCCTTTGTAATGTTTACGACTATATGCCAGAAATAAAAGGAAGTTAATCTATAAAAAAGCTGAATCAGATCAAAAGGCGATAGTTTCACAATGACTCACCAAATTAATCTCTTTGGACTTGGATGAAGGTGTGCTGCTGGAGGAGGCGATGGAAGAAGGACTCAGGGGGGCGTCTTTCTTTAGCAGGCGACTTTTGTCCAATCCGTTCTCCTGAGGAGAGTGGGCAGGACTTCCTCGAGGAGACGTAGCATCCTGAGATGGTTAGCAAATATGTTTAAACGAAAACATCATTATTGTTTCAAATGAGAAAAAAAAAAAAATCATATCCAACAATAAAAGTAAAAGCTGATCGGTACCTCATTGGAGACGTCCACCACCAAGTTGTCGTCACTCTTTTCTCCATCACTTTCCTGGGATTCACAGAAAAATTAATTTTACATTTAACAAAGATAAAAGAAATAATACATAGAAAATTAATTAGCCTTATTGTATAGAGGAAAATGATCTAACAATACTAACCAATTTTCTCTGACATTTTGTATCTGTCAGAATAAAAAGCATTAACTTAAAGATAGGTAAACCTGTATTTTTTTTTATCTCACAAGCTTTACTCTGTTTCATTTCCCAGTTTTTCAAAACAAAGGGTCCTACCAAGAACAGAGAAAAATGATTTACCTCTCTTTTCCAATTTTCTCTTTCAGCAATAAAATGTATTACCGTACATCTCCTCCCCTGCTCAGTCAAGGATGATTTCAACCGTGTAACTCACGTAGCGGGTCGAGGTTAGCTCTTTGTCGTCTGTCTTCTGCTTTTTGCTGTCAGATGAAAAATCACTGGAACTCTGATGTTTCTCTCCGGCCCGGAAACTGGCTGACGGAGACACAGAGGATCTCTGAAACAGAGAAGAAAACTACCATTACAACTACCTCCAAGCCTTTATTATGGAAGGTTATGATGCTGAATGTTCTTGTAATTCAGACTGCTGACCATCTTTGTTTCGTTTTGCTTTGGTAATCACAATTGATTACACATTTGTTTATTTAGCTGTGTAACTGTAGCTATACAGTTCTGTAAATGCCTCTGTTAATATTCATATATACTCAGTGTAGAGATAAGTGGGAGAAGATGCCAGCCTCATGCTATTTTATACTAAAACATCTGGATTAGCCATGGTGTTTATTTACTCTGAACTTAAATGCCACCATTGGTTTTTATCACACGGCTCCTTTGTGTTTATGTTTTATTCCGTTTCTGTTTGCAGCCTACACCAACAGCATCTCCAGCAATACTGGAACAATGTCCCTTTTTAAACATGCAGATTACATAAATATGCAGATTTTGTCATATGGGCTCTGGTGTCCCATAAGACTGAAACTGATACTCTTGTTCCATATCAGAATGTAGTCAACACAGAGGTAATTATTGTTTAAAGGTTCTATACCAAGCTGTTTTTAGCCCTTCAAATTCAGCAATAGGGATATAAATGAGGAAATGCTATCAGCCCACTCTGAAGACTCTTAGTGCTCTGATGGCACCAGGTGTATCCTCCTCTTAACTGTACGTCCTGCCCAGATCCTCGACTGCTAAAAACTGATTAATAACTGATGAATAAGGCTGAAATAATGAATAATATGGAAATTATCAATTCATTTAGTAACTGATTAATCATTAACTTGATTACACACTCTAAAACCTGTGTTGTGCATGAACACACTCACTGAATACATTCATATTTTTAGAGATTGGTGAATTGAACGGATCAGTTTTGAAGTAATGAATGTCAACAATAGTGACGTTCACTCTCAGAATAATGTGCGACACACGCAGCTCACGTTCACATTTAATTAATAATGACACTTTTAATTGGATAATGTCAGGTTTTACTGTGCTTATTACGGCAAACAGCATGACAGACCAGGATTTCTACTGCTAGTACCAGTCGTGTGTGATTCAGACTCATCTACTGGTGTTTCTGATGCCAGTGTTGCAGAGTGCTTGGCTGAGTTTTATGAACTAACAATGGAAACTGGGACAGAAAAAAAACAAACTCATGTTTTTGTGCAAACTGTCCTCACCGGGATTCACAAACAAGTCTGTAAGTCAGCCACGTCCACTCCAAATTTAAAGTGACACATCTTGGGAAATATCTGATACTGAATGAGGAACATAAGAAGTCATTTTCGATACTGATCTTTTCAGTAGAACCTGAATGTACCTGTATTTTTCTGAAGTTTCATTTTATTTAGCTAAATAAAGGCTTCACTGCACATACAGTATACCTTGACTGCATCAAGTACTCTCCAATTCTTCCTATATATCATGATCACACATTTAAAGGGGGAAATATGAGGTTCTATTGTAGTATTATGGCTTAATTTACCAAATTAAATTGAACTAGATCATTTATAGGTTTGTGAACACTGTTTATTTTTGAAAAAGTCGGCTATGAACCTGAGCAAGTTCATGTTCATGTGTGTGAACTGAACTTTTAGCTATGAACTGGCACAACATTGTCTAAAAGTTGTCTTTAGCTGACAGAGCAACCCATTTAGAGCAATATATTTATATATCACAATTCTAGACAATTATATAAATATATTTTTTTAACCCAATAAAATATGTCAAAATACTCTATCCAGAGCTCTACAAGTGGAAACGTTTTAGTTTCTCCTGATTTAATTCTGTTAAAAATCTTATTTAGGGAACCTTTGGCTATTAGATTACTAATTGAATAATCTAAAAAAATTATTGACAGATGAATCGATAGGCAAAATAATAGTTAATTACAGCAGGTAGGAATACACCACTATCTGACTCAATACGATGTCCTTGTAATCATACTTGTATCTGTAAATATGCTGCCACACCAAAGGACCAGATATTGGCATCATTTTCCTTTAAACAGCTAGTTTTTGCACAATACAGCAGCTGGTCTGTGGTTCATTGTAAGTTGCAGAAATACATCATAAAGAGAAGGCAAGCAAAGAAGAAGTGGTCATGAGAGTTAGCTTAACATTCACCCTTTGGTCCTAAATAATTTTTGTGGCTTTATACAAGCATTGCCACATTCGCAATTTATACTTACAGTATGTGTTGTGAAGCCCCATTTGCCAAGAACAATAAACCCAATCTCTGATCTCAATCTCAAAATGAATTGACTGGAATGCAGACTTGTCATGTTTCAGTTGCAATTTAATGCATGCAATGCAATTTAAATTGTTTCCACATAGAAGCAATACATAAATCTAGTTTTAAATTTAATGTTGAGAGCCTCAAAATTGGTCAAGAATCCCATAAGTGCTTTCTTTAGATTCTAAAAATCTCAATAAAGAGGAAATCAGTGATGGAACTGTCCTTTTTAAAATTATTAAGTCAGTTGCAAACAGCAATCTTATACAGATGACAAAATAATTCTGAAAGTATGTTGAATATTTGGTGCGTTTGGCATGAAGCTAGTCAGCTATTCTGCAGAATGAAAGACAAATCTGAACAATAAACCAACAAAAATATTGCCTAAAATATTATCTACTAAATATTAACTATAAAGATCAGCACCACCATTTGTCTACAAATCCAGCAATGACATAACAAAGTGTGCTACATCCTTAACAGACTGATTGCACAACCCTTTCATTAGGTGCAGTAGCTAGACTAATGCCACTTATTTCTTATCAAGCTTTACATTTTTTAAACGATGAATGTACTTTGAGGAGCAGAGATCAAACTGAGGCCAGTCAGACATTGCTCATTTTCCTGAGAAAGTCTTTGCTGATCTCCCCTCCATGTTGGGAGGCGCTGCTCCACCAGAATACAGTAGATGGAAAGGAAAAATAAATAAAATAAAACAAGACCTTTAACTCGACCTTTCCACTAACTCACGCTCGTAACCTTTCCACTGCCCTTTGGCGTGCTGCAAGTGTTGATGACAACGATTCTGAGCAGGGGGAAGGTTGAGGCTGTGTGGGGTGTGTCTGGTTTGATGTGTGTGGTGCACTTGATCCTGTTTACATTTTAGTCCTCTGTATGTGCAAATAATCTGCAGATATCGCCTGTGCATGGGTGCCTCCTGAGCGATAGAGGAGCAAGTTGAGGCATCACTCAATGTCACCTCCATTTCAGGCTGATTAGAATAATTAGCCTGCAAATTACCTATTTTCAAAAAAAATCTAAGCAAATCTACTTTTCTGCACAGTTAAATGAAGGCCCCCATCGGCTGAAGGAGCATTGTGACTGTGACAAACTCTTTGCTGTGGGTGAGTGAAAGTATTCATTGTAACCGACTCATATTACTACTCATATCCTCCCACACTTCTCAGTGGCGTTTGTGGCTTCTTGTTTTCTTTTTTTATTACCTTTAAAAGTGCTCTCTGTGGGCATTACTGCAGGTTGATGCCACTCCTGTTTAATCAATTTAAATCCTAACCTAGGACTGATACAGTTAATCAGTTTACAGTTTCTTATTTGCAGACTGTCTGTTGAAAAAATAAGTCCTTCATATGTATTTATTTATTAAGCGCTTTGAGAAATTTAAACAAGGAGACCCAAGCATATAACAATAAAATCAAAAAAATAGGCAAAAAGATTACAGAAAATAAAATAGTTCTGCTAAAAAGAAGTGTCCAAAGAAACATAAAAAAAATCCTCTTTTAACAGACTTTCAAAAAGGCCCAGTTTGGTGATTGCCTGAAGGTCTAAAGTAAGCTGGTTGCAGACTGTTGGTGCCACCAGCAAAGAGCCATTATCACTGTAGAGAGTGAGCTCAGTTCTAGGAACATCCTATTAAATCTGTCTGGAAGATCTTAAGGACCTGCCACTCATATGCTAAAATGTCCAGATAAAGAAGGACGCGTGCTAATGTACAAATAGGCAGCTGCAATCTAACAAAGTTGAGTGTGATTAAAGTAGGAATGAAACAGTTAACAAAACTAACTTAATTCAATAGTTGGTGTCTAACTGTTATCAATAATTAAAGTACAAATGTAAAAAATATATAAAGAAAAAATAAATGTTGTGTTGCTCAAGTTTCAAAGCAAATTGGCTAAAAAGCATAAGCAATGGGATTTAGATCCTTTCGGCTTCGTCATCCATCACACCAAAGTGTTGTATGGTTGTGATTTATCCCCAGTATATCCAATCTATTCAACTGCCAGCTGAATCATTGACCAACCCTGTGACATCATTGCTTGGAGTAATGCAACATGGCGGCACCCTTGCAAAAAAATTATAAAGCAATGCTAAGTTTTTTCTTTTAATTTTCACGTTTGTAAAATAATTATTGATAATGGTAGGACACAGTCTTGTGATTTAGGTGAGTATGGTTGACTGTTTTATCTCCACTTTAAGGCTTGACTTAGACAAACCAACATAGAGAGCATAGAGAAAGGTTGAGCCTGTAAATAATTGAGGTATGCACAACCTTCTCCAAATCAGGATTAAAAAAAATATGCAACTTAAAAAAGCTTCTTTTGAACATAATGTTGATTTTTAAATGTAAAAATCATCATTAAATATTATGCTTAAATCTTTAACGCTGACATATGTAATGATGCTGCCGTCAGATAAAATACCGTTTTTTCTCCATTTAGATACAATCATGACGCAGGAACCACTGTTCAACAGCAGTACTGCACTACGGTGGAGAACGGGAAGCATTACTATAGCTGACTTCAGAGACAAAAGTATGATGACTAACTTACACAGAGGAAGTTAAAGTGAGACACACAGAGACTTTGGAATACTAAAAAAATTAAAACATTGAACAGAGAGAAAAGATAAATAAATAAAAATACAAAAAAAACTCAAATGCATGACCTAGTGTGGCAAGACAATAAATGTAGTGTATAGACACAGAAATGTATTAATTAAAACAAGACCCTTAGAAAGAAACGCTGA